GTAACTCGTGGCAAAACAATCCAAGTATCGCATCAAATGCAAGCATTTGCAGCACCGCAAAACGTTCATTCTTCGGTTCCAATAAAGTCTTGCTTTTTCTTTGCCCCCCAAAAAGGTATGTACAAAACGAAGGAGAACAATGCCGGTCCGTACAAAGACAGACTTAATGAAAAGTCAAAGAAAAGATACGAGGAAAAAAATCAAACCAGTGAAAGTGTTAGATCCTTACGAGCACACAGAGGGGCAAAATACGTTAGCGTGCTGCCCAACTTCACCACGCTCATATTTATAATCATACGGTTCTTGGAGTGAGTGCACACACTCATGAAGTTTAGTAACTTCAGGTCACTGCAACAAGCCCAGGTACAGTTTACTGACGGATGGGTGCAGGACCTTGAAATGCACCGTGTAGAACGAAAGACCATCGTACCTATCATAAGTTTACCAGTCTCACAAATCGTCGTCATAAATACACATTCGTTAACCGTTTATTAATATGACCTTTGAGCTCAACGGTAATTAATTAGTAGTGGAAATAATTTCTGGTAGCATCACAAAAATGTAGCAGTGACAATAATACTGTATGTTGTAATCGCACTGGGCAATTAGATACAAAACAACTGTTTTATCCTGTGAATAAAAGTATATGTTTTTGTCAATGTACCATAATAATAGAAGCGAAACGCAATATTGTGTCAGGACAATTCACTGTTTATGCACAATAAATAAAGGAGCATAGCGCGACAATTTCTGTTCAGCGCCAGACTTGCTTGTAACCAATTATGTTAAGAAAAATGACGCATTAACTACTACAAAACTCTGACCTTTGTGGGAATGCTTGGAGCAGACTAACATGTGAGCTGGAGTGTTCTGGGACGTTATATTTGGTATATCCAGACCATCCGCCGGCTCTTACTTCGGAAACATGGCTTAAAAAATTTCTCTTCAACGACGTAATCCGATAAAATAAAAAAAAATATCTCTTTGCCCGTCGGCTTCCCGTGGCTGTCATGCGACCAGCTATTGCAGTTAATAATACAACAGCTTCTTGCCATTTTTTGTTTCTTTTTATCGCTGTGTAACTGAGTTCAATTGAAAGCCTGCGTGCGCTAGTACCTCTTGCCACAAGTTCCCAGAATCCTTTGCGGTTTTACCCCTGAATGACGTCACATTTTCAATCTTTATCCTGGTGGGCCGGTCTCTAGTCAAAATGCCCGGGCCGATTTTTTGTCCCAGTCCAGCCTTGGGTGTACCTGGACGACATCTTGGTACATGGTGCTTCTTTCTACGTTGCCCTTGGGGCCCTCAGACGGGTCCTGGAGAGGGTATTGGCAGCAGTGCTAAAACTCAACCCACAGAAATGCTGCTTCATGCAATGTCAGGTCACGTTCCTAGGCCACTCACTGGGGGCTGGGGGGGTCGGCACCATGGATGATAAGATCCAAGCTGTGAAGGACTGGCCCACCCCAAAATCTGTGCAGGAGTTACAGAGCTTCCTGGGCTTGGCATCCTACTACAGAGGGTTTCTCCTGCATAGCTGTGCCACTGTTCCATTCCAGTGGACAGCAGGCTGCCAGGGAGCTTTCACCTCACTGCAGGAAGCCCTAGTGGGGGCCCCAGTGCTCTCTCCGCCTGACCCCACACTACCCTTTGTCCTTGACACACATGCCAGCAGTGTTGGATCTGGTGCAGTGCCAGCCTAGATGATACCCGGCGGGAAGAAAGAATACCATAGTAGGGCCTTCAACAAAGCTGAACTCCGCTATTGTGTCACAAGGCGGGAGCTGCTCGCAGTGGTATGTGCCACACGCCACTTTAAGTACTACATCGGGGCCTCCACTTCACGGTCAGAACTGACCATGCTGCCTTGCAGTGGCTCATGTCTTTTAAGGAGCCAGAGAATTGAGGAACAGTGACAACCCCAAAAGGATGAAATCGCCATGTTGTCTCAGGCCACAAAGGGACTCTGGTCCATGTTTAATGCCTTGCGGCAGTACGATGGAGTGCTGCAAAGGGGCTGGAAGGAACCAGCTACGGGCGAGATGAGGTGGCAGTTGGTGGTCCCGCGGGCCCTGCAAGAGATGGTGCTTCGCGCAGTGCATGGAGCCCCAGGGTCTGGCCACTTTGGTGTCACTTAAAAACTCTGTCGCCTCCAGCAGGGATTCTATTGGGCCCGACATAGGTGGGATGTAGAGGACTTTTGCCACTGCTGCGACAGCTGTACAGCACGGAAGGGGCCCACAACCAAATCCCATGCCCAACTCCAACAGTTTCCAGCAGGGTACCCTGTGGAGAGGGTGGGGATGGACATCCTGGCTCCTTTTGCCCGCACAGAACGGGGAAACTGAGATATCCTCACAGCTATGGACTATTTCACAAAGTGGCCAGAGGCACACAGATTGCCTAACCAAGAGGTCGAGATGATTGTGGATGCTCTGGTGGAGGGGATGTTCATCAGATTTGGGGTGCCTGTAGTAATCCACACGGAGCAGGGCAGGAACTTTGAGTCCCGTGTATTTGCGGCCATGTGCGAGAAACTAGGCTCCCATAAGAGCCATACAACACCCTTCTAACCACAGAGTGAGGGACTCGTTGAGAGATTTAACCGTACACTGGCAGAGCAACTGCCGCTAGTGATGGCTATACATCAACGTGACCAGGACACTCGTGTTCCCCTGGTCCTCATGGCATATAATTTGGTGGTCCAAGGCTCGACTTTGTGCTCCCCTGCCCTCTTGATGTTGGCAAGGGAGATTCGGACTCCAGCAGAGATGATGATGGACCGACCCTCTGATGCTGATGAGGATCAACCAGGTTCTGACTATGCGAGGAAGCTCCAGGATCGCATGGAGTCTGCTCATGACTTTGCTTGAAGGAAACTAATAAGTGCGGGGGTGGGGCAGAAGACGAACTACAGCATCCATTCCAGAGGCCGACATTTTGACATTGGGGAACTGGTCTTGGTGTACAACCCCTGGAGGAAAAAGGGCAGATGCCCCAAGCTGGACAGTAACTGGGTTGGGCCCTGTAAGGTCCTGGAACACCTGGGGGAAGTGGTGTACAGGGTACAACTACCCCCCAGAGGGGAAGGAAGGTCGCCCTGCACCAGGACACACTGGCCCCCTATCGGGGCACGGACAGACCTGGACTCCACCCCTACAGACTCTTCCATCACCATTGTGACTCCCCCTACAGTGAGCCCCATGAGCCTTGGGCCTGTGGCCGCTTCAGATGTGGCACCTTCGCCCAAGGAGGCACCATAGACCACCAGGCCACCTGAGAGACTTTATCCGCCCGGCGAGGGACTATCCTTGAGTATCCTTGAATGTGTAGTAGTCTAGAGGCCGTTTGGCCTGTCAATCAGATCATCTACCAATGGCAGAGTCTGGAGGAGAGCATGTGTGTGGTTGGCTGAGAGTGTTTGGGGGTGTTAGAGAATGTTGTTGTGTGTGTTTGCAGGGAAAAAGGAGCGCAAGTTGGGGGTTTTGACTCAAGAGAGTGCGTTTTTCCCTCTTGTTTTGGCGTTGGCTATGGCACACAGTAGCCGGTGTTACTGTTCCTAATATAACACCAGGTAACCGGAATAACGATAGTCTCCGTCTTCTGTCGGAGGGACGCTACAATACTAACCGAAAATGGATTTAGTTACATTCTGGACCATGTTTCCCGAATGCAGTAGCTAGGGAGCTGATTGGAGACCAAAACAGCCAATCATAAGTTTTGCATCCAAGTCTGTGATTGGTTGGTTTTGTGGCACATTTATAACAGTGCACAGAAAGAGTTGAGCGTGCAGAGAGCAGATGATGTGAGCGAGAACGACACACAGAGCGCACAGAGCAGAGATCTGAGCAAGAGCAAATGCCAACAACTGAGCGAGAGGGGCTGTTATTGTGTGTGTATATGGATAATAGCAAACACTCAAATACATTTCTTGCATGCAGCAATAAATTTTGTTCGCTCAAATTAAACTTTTCTTTGCTCAAAATTATTTTCTCCTCAAAATGCAGCATTTGTACATTTGTAAATTCTTTACGTGTGCTCAGAATAGAGGCACAAAAATAACACCGTAGTACACTGGCAATAAGAAGACAACCTCCAAAAAAAGAATGGTTCTGCAGGTATTGGCCACAGGTGTATCTTTGCTGTGTCCATATCACTGCTGCTGGCATGAAGCGGCAGCTGAGCTCATCGAGGAAAAGACATCCTTGTGTGCGCCTACAGGGCTTGTTCCATCTCCCAGCAGTCTCATGAGAGTGGAGGAGACATCGGGATACAGGGTTCGGGTTGGAGCCCACTCCAGTCAACACTGAGTGAACGAGACCTTGATGGCTGAGCTGCAGGTCCTCTCATCCACTACTCTGAGACATTAGGCCTTTTCATTGTTGTACTGGTCAGATCGTGTCAGTGCTGAGGTATGTAGAATTTGGTCATTATTTAATCGTTCATATCAAAAGTCATTTAAAACCAACTCAAGGACTGCAACCATTTTTAATGGGAAAAACATCTATTAGCCATCAGTGAGTGTTAGTGGTATCACCAGACAAGTGCCAGTGTTAAAGGTTTAAATATTTAAACAAGCATGTGTATAGACAGACTCCAGGGGTCAAGCATCTGCCTTTTTGGCCTTTTCCTTTAAGGTTTTACAACCTATTCATCTTGGAGTCACTCTTGTTCAGAATTTCTGTAAATTCTGTGGATTTTCATTATTTATAAGGATAGTCATGAATCTTTATGTGTTTATAAGGACCGTCTTAAAAGAATGGATCAAAGTTTGCATGACTCGGTGGGATATGAGTAGCATGACATCTTGCATTTTGGTGTTCAAATGATCCAAGTTTGAAAGCCAAGTGCATACTTAAAGTCAACTTCAAACTATCCATCCATCCATCCATCTGCTTCCGCTTATCCTTTTCAGGATGGCGGGAGGTGCTGGAGCCCACCCCAGCTGTCTTAGTGAGGCAGGGTACACCCTGGACAGGTCGCCAGTCTGTTGCAGGGCCAACATATAGACAGGAGACAACCATTTGTACTCACATTCACTTCCACATTCACACCTATGGGCAATTTAAAGTTTCCAATTAAACTATCTATATCATATTTTTGTGATTCTCACATGCAATATTAATTTTGCATTTGCCACTTCCAGCACAAAGGCTGTTCCTGCGACAGCGTCACCTACTTCCAAGGTGCATGGAGAAAAACAAGGGTCCAAAGAACACTTGGAGTATAAAGAACAGCTTTGATCCTTGACCAACAGGTTTTGGCCTGTGGTCATTGTCCGAGAATGATGAAGACTAATCCAGCACAATACCAAGAAAGCACAGGTTAATAAAACAAAAAGAAAAGAAAACTACAGAAACTAAAACAGGTACTAGCTCTCCTCTGTCCTGACTGGGCCATCTAGTAATAAGCAGCACTGGGAAGGTACTTTAAAAACAAAACCAAACCATCTATGAACGATGTAGATGTCTATCAGACTGCTCAAATAAATAAATCAGTATGTAAACAGGTAAAAAGCGTGTTACTGTGTGTAACTTCAGTTTTTACAAATACTTGTGTGCCCTTCTATGTATTAAGGCATGCAAACTGTCAAACCCCAGCATTTTAGTAACCACACTACAGAACATGGAAACACTAAGGCTGATGAAGTTTGACATTTTTTAATCCAAAAAGCGGTCCAGCATCCTTTGGATGTTTTGAAAGGCATCTCTGCCGAGGTAGTCCACCTGTCCCATCTCCCACAGCCTGCGGTGATCCAGCGGCTCAGTGTCTGCAGGTGTCTGCCACGACAAAGTGGGAAATAAACATCACATAATTATTCCATATAGATGCATTTAACAGAAGTCTCGTTTTGAAATCTGGCCGGATTTGAATTCTTACACAAAGACAACACAGTGTAAACACAAAGAGTCAGTGTGAATCGTCTGTGAAGAGGAGGAGGAGTATCACAGTAGCTAAAAAGAACAAAACCACCGCTCCATGAATCATGTTCTGGCAACACAAGTGAAGCTTTTACAAGCTGTCTGCTACTCTGTGCCACACATTTAAGTGAACACTGACAGTCAAAGGACGTTTCAACCAGTGCAGTAGCTCTACTTCATTCTGAACAGATTCAACTGGTACAATAAACATCGATCTGAAATATTGTAAGTAAACCAAATCAAAATGATAACTGCCACCAGCATGTGCTCTGTGCGGTTTTGAGAAACCAGTGTTGCCTTGAAAGAATGTGCCCTGCATAGCGCTGGCTCAGACACACCTCCTCACTGAAACCTTTAAGTTGCTGTGAGCCTGGAGAACGTGCTAATACTTCCACACTACGTCTGAGGGGCCGTCACAACTAGTCTAAGGAATGACATAATTACGGTTTCATTTACGATTCTGTTGACAAGCAAAATCTGCAGATTATTACAACATAAATTGTTTTACAGAACATAAATTTGGCAGCTGTAAATTCATACTTCTATGGTTTAAAGGACTACATACGGGATCAGCAGCCGTGTCTGCAGGAACGTCACTGCTTTCAGAGCCTTCTGCCCCCAAAGGTGGATCCTCAGCTTCTGACTCCTCAGACGATCTCGACTCCTTCTCCAACTGTGTGCCATCTGTGTGGGAACACTGCAGACGCAGGAATCATTTTACTAAACAGCAAACGTGATTGCATGTGCCGTACGCTGTTGTAAAAGCTTCTACATCACCTGATCGTGGGGATAACTCTGCTGATGCATGTTCATAGCTGTGATCATACTGGAGGGAATGTGGTTGTTCAAACTAATCGTACAAGCTTGTATAAAAACAGTGCATCAAGTTGTAATGAATTAAACAAATGACCAAAGACAACGAGAAGCTCGGAGGCCCGTGGCAGACAGCAGGCTGTATCCCTGTCTTGTTGTGTTTTTTCTTCCTGGAGTCAAATGAAGTCAGGCTGAAATACTCACAACTACTACAATCATTACTATGATATATGAAAAACACAACTAGCCAATAAGGTTATTCATTAAGCTAATTAATGTACTGATAAGAGATTATATCGAATGAGTACTTACAGGAAAAGTCTGACTTGTGTTTAAAGTAGTTAATCCCCCTACTCTGACTCATGAGATGCACAGCTATGACAATTATATTTAGCAATAAACAAAAGCAAAAAATGATGCTTCAACAAAACACAGAAACTGTCCAAGAGCTTAACATACAGATCAGCATGTCAGTCTCAGCTTACCACAGCTGGTTCAGACTGTGAATAAAGGTACTCTGGAGGAGGAGGAGGAGGAGGAGGAGAAAAATGTGCAAGCAGTGAATTCGAGGTGTCCAAGTTTTCTGTAAACGGCATCTTGGCTTCTCTTTCTTGGATCTGCACAAAGACAAAAAAAAAAGGAGGATAGTAAATGTTGGGCTGACAACCAAGACCAGCGCTGCACAGCCATCTGACACGTCTAGCTGCCACGTTCATGTTGCAGCCAAACTCTGCAGCAACTTATGTGACAGATTGACAAATCTTCAGCTACAGAGGGAGAAGTCAGCAGTGAAAACTGGTGCTGGAGCGGCTGCAGAGAAAACGTGCAGAGCATCTGCCAAACGTGGCAAAGCAACACTCTTCACAATGAAACAAAATCCAGCAAACTGGTGACAATGTATCCTTACATGAGTCCAACAAAGCATCAGATTTAAACCAGACAGTGTGAGTAAGCCAGTCTGGTGCCTTCACTACAACATCATGACAGTGATACTGGTTTACTAACAAGGACACCACCTGTGAGCTGCTGTACTGCACAGGCACATGATGGTAAAGCAGAGACATCTCGGGGGTTTCACTATCAGCCTGATGGCTCATCCCATGTGAACGTTTGCATAGCTCAGTTGTAACTCATGCTGGTAACGTCTGCTGCTGTTTAAAGCCAATCTTTAGCTTCAGATGTCATTTTTGTCTTTGTCCCACTCAGATCCCTTCCTCTGACTCCTGGTGTGTGACTTTGGACCTCCACCCACCAGTGAGTCCCACACCTGTTCCGTTTCCCCCGATTAACCCTTTACTGTCCTACCCGCCCTCATGCACATTCCTACCTGTTGTGGTTTCTCCTGCTCTTGCTTGGGCTGGACAACTGGAGCAGATGACACTGTGTGAATAAGGTATTCCTTCCACCACAGAGACACAAACTGCTCCATGTTGTGTGAGTAGCTGCTGTTTCCCTGCGAGTTCCAGGGTTTGTCTGCTCCAAGGAAGTGGATGATCTTTGCATTGTGGCCAAACCTGCAAGAACAAAACTGTAACTCCAACATGTCCAACTGTGGAAACCAGTAACACAGAGGAGACTGAAACCCACACGGTTCAGAGTATTTCCCAATTTATCAATTCCTCAAACCTATATTTATGTTCCAGAAGGTTTATTGGAGCGTCATCAGCTGTCACCGTTTGTTTTCTGTCAGTTTATTCTCGTTTCATAAGAACTCTATCAGTTGTGTTCAGACTGTAAGATTACATTCACAGTCAATGCAGAGATGCACAGTTAGCTCAAATTAAAAACGAACAAGAGAAAACGTGCAGGGCTTAAAAACCCTCCTGATCCTAATATTAAGGTACACTACAATACTACAGATGTTATACTAAAAACACACTCAAGCCAGATAACTGCAGCATCCAATCAACGGTCGCCTTCATAGACCAGCTGAAAAGTGTCACACTAACACAGAGATGAAAAAGAAGCAAAGCGTTGTCGAACACACCAGGACACATTCACACCAACAGGGTTATGGACTGGTGGCCTTCTGCTACAGCACTTTTCTACTTTACCCGACTGCCTCATTCACACCAGCACGTTTCTATGTGTAAGTGCTTTCCAGCCAGCATTTTTCATACAGAGCTTTTCATGCCACATTCAAAACTGCAGCATTAAGACTGATCATGTACAGCAGCAGTTGGACATGTATATATCATATATATCATGGAGCATTCAGGAGTCTGGAAACTTGGCAGTTCTGTACCGAGCACAAGGGTGAAGGGTCAGTGAGGGCGTGTGGAGTCAACTTTAACGGCTCTGCTTCGACGGCATTGTGCAAACACATCCTGCACAGATGGAAGAGGACAGCTAAAGCGACAAGACGAGCATAGAAAGTCCACCTCTGAAGAAAAGTAGATTTTGGAGTCCAGATTAAAGAGATTTCTCAGAGTGATGTCAGCGACTGATCTGTTATCCAAGTTTTATTTCAGTGCCGACTGCACGTCTAGCAAATATGTTTTCACCTCAGTGATGCAGGCAGCAGATGATGCTCCTGTGACGATAAATACAAAACTGTTTGATTTATGCCCAAAACAATGACATGCATTATAGGACTAGAACTAGCCTTTACATGTGGAGATATTTAACTGTGGGTTTTAAGTGGAAAAGAACCACAGGCAGCGCAGACACACTCACTGTTGGAAAGCAGGAAGGTAGCTGTAGACCGAGCTGGCACTGAGGTTGTAAACAAACGGCAGGTGTTTACTGAGGTCTTCCACTGACCAGCTACTGAAGAAAGAGTTCAACAGTCCTTGGTCTCCTCCTGTCAGCACACAAGAACAAAGTCCACAATAAAACAAACTCAATGTATGGTTTTTATCTTTTGTTCCCCTTTTTTTGTGTGACTGTAACAATTACCCAGGTTTGAACAATAAATCAGCACAACATTTACAAGGACTGCGGCCATTAGTTTAGTAATCGAGTACCCTATTGATCCTTCCATGCATTGAGTATAGGCCGCAGTTGATAAACGAAGCATCAAAGCAAAGAATTTGTCCTCAGATCAGCTCAACGGCTGCAACGATTCATCGAGTAATTCAAGGAATTAGATTTTTTTTGATATAAAGAGCTGAAAACAAAATCTCAATATTCTTTTATTTTATTCTTCCTAAAGTTTGGTAGGTGTGCAGGTGCTAAAGGATCCTGCACATTAAAAACATGATGTGATGTCAGTGCATTTGATGCAAAGCTGTCCAAGAGTTCATTGTGAAAGGGTTAACTGTGAGATCCACACCCACCAGAGGCTGCCTCTGTGTGTGTGTTCCTGTCTAGCTATCTTTGTGAGGACCGACATCTGCATTCTACTATACTTGTGAGGACACACTCACCGGTCTTCACATATTTGAAGGCATTTTTGAGGCTCAAACTGTGGTTTTAGTGTCAGGGTTGCAATTAGGTTATGGTTCGGTTTAGGGTCAGGGTTAGGCATTCATTTTTAATGGTTAGGTAAGGGGCTAGGGAAAGCATTATGTCAATGAAGTTCCTGACTAAGATAGCTGAAGTCCTGGTGTCCCGGTGAGGCTAGGTTGACATAATATAATGCATTTCTGAATCAGACCAGTCACCGCTCTCTCCCTGATCAGAACAAAACCAAAAGCTGACTGAATATTTTTGTTGGGAATAAAACATCATTGACGTGCTTTCTATGAGCACATGACTCCAATTAGTTGAGCCATTGGAATTCAAAGCACTGTAGCTCATTGCTTGTGCCTGAGCCCGTGTAGTCGTGTGTTACCATCAAAGCTGCCGTGGCGACTGGTGTGATCCAGCAGTCTGGTGTGAGTGTGCAGGGACGGTCTGAAGACAAACACTCCTGAGTTGAAACAGTCGGGCCAGCCGGGATCAGGAGCGGCTGACAGCTCGTCCCTGTCAAACAGCTCGTCCACGTTACACAGCACCTGAGGAGACCAGAGGTCATCTAAACTCACATCTACACGGACTTCATCCACCTTAAGTTGACATCTGGAGGTATACATGTTACCTTTGTGTAGAAACAGGCGTCATAAGGGATAAAAAACAAGTTTTAGTCTTCAAACGTGCTTTTTTACAGAAAGCACGTTGACCAGTGAACCAGCCTGCCATTGATCCGTTTCAGTGTGACACTCTAGTTGTTCCTCTGAACACAGATCACAGCTGCTGTGAAGTTTGAAGGCGAGCAGCTTATATGTGTGTTTCTGCTGTTTGTTCCTGGTCAGAAGCACAAACCCTCTCAGTTCACCTGGAGTAATATATCGTCACAGAGACTTTCTACAATTACATCCCACTCTAATGAAAAACGAGCTGACTGTTCTAACCTGGCTACAGCACAGAAAAGAAAACTAGGGTTGTTCTTGTTTTTATTGTTATTGTAACAAACTCTTTTTCTATGCTAAATGAAGATATCTGTGAGACACCATTTCCTCTGTGCTGAGAAGGCGACTGGCTCAAATGTGCCTTCACTACAAGGACACAAGGGAAACTGCTACCCACTGCTCCCACCCCGAGTGTTTGTGATCCTCCCCTCAACCAGCTTCAGACATATCGGCATGTGTCAGTGAACTCACCAGAGTGTCGGCATCCAGAAAGACGCATTTGCTATACTGTGTCAGAGTCCAGCAGTGGATCTTAGTGAAAGTGATACCGAGCTCAGGACGTCCCAGCAAGGACAAGTGGTGGTAATCTTCACTGTCCATCACATCCACCACAATCACTTCATCAAACACATCTTCAAGGGCGAGTCTGTCGGGCGATTCATAAACGTCAGTATATGATTTTTAGCAGATGCACCTTCAGAGCCTGTTTGTTCAAGAGTAATGGGACACCTAACATTTTCACACACAGCTCCCATTTCACCTTATGTTTGTTGCTCCCATCCCAATAACATCTGGCCAGTATGCCAACTTAACGTTACTTCATGTAGTGACAAATGTGGGTCACTTACTTCACTTTGAATTTTTCCTATATGAAAAGAAACCACAACTACAAGTTTCATCACCTGGTTCAGACCAGAGTAAAAGTATTTACAACACTTCACTTGTTCTGCATTTTTCATGTTACAGTCCCAATTCCAAATTCTACACACACAATAACCCATAATGGAAAAGTCTGGATGCAAATTTTATTTTATTTTTTTAAAAGCTCTTACAACAGTTGGATAAGGATCGAATGGCTCGTAGAAACGGGCAAGATACGCCCATACTCCCGAAACACCTTCCACAGAACACTGAGGGCCACGGTGGAATGCCTTCTCCAAGCCCACAAAACATGTGCACTGGTTGGGTAAACTCCCATGCACCCTTGAATATCTTTGAGAAGGTAAAGAGCTGGTCCAGTTTTGCGCAACTGGGACAATCCTCCTGTAACCGAGGTTTGACTAATGCAGGCGTGTCCAACTCCAGGCCTCGAGGTCCTGCAGGTTTTAGACGTGTCCTTGATCCATCATAGCTGATTTAAATGGCTAAATTACCTCCTCAACATGTCATGAAGTTCTCCAGAGGCCTGGTAATGAACTAATCATGTGATCCAGCTGTGTTGACCCAGGGAGAGATCTAAAACCTGCAGGACACCGGTCCTCGAGGCCTGGAGTTGCCCACCCCTGGACTAATGGATGGTGGGCTCTCCTCTCCAGCACCCTGGCATAGACCTTCCCAGGGAGGCTGAGGAGTGTAATCCCTCTATATTTGGAACACACCCTCCGGTTCCCCTTCTTAAAAATGGGAACCACCACCCAGGTGTGCCAGTCCAGAGGTACCACCCCTGACCATGCAACATTTCAGAGCGTGTCAACCAAGACAGCCCTACAACATCCAGAGCCTTCAGGAACTCAGGGTGAACCTCATCCACCCCCGGGGCCCCGCAACCAAGGAGTTGTTTAACTGCCTCAGTGACCTCGGCCTCAGTGATGGAGGAGTCATCCACCCGTCCCCAGACTCTGCGTCCTCTACAGAAGACGTGTCAGTGGGTTTAAGGAGGTCTTGGCTCCAAAGTCCCACAGGCTAACCAAGCCTGATAGAACTGCTTCTTCAGCCTGATGTCTCCCTTTATCTCTCGTGTCCTGACCTGAATGTACATTTCTGTAGGACTCAGACAATGACTGTGCACCAACATCTCCCACCTTTGTTTGATCAGTTCCACGAAGCAGAATGAGAGAATCTGCCCAAAATTAGATGCATCAAGCTTGTAGAGTCATACACGAAAAGAACTGAGGCTGTAATTGCTGCAAAAGCTGCATGAAACACAGGCTGTGAATACTTATATACATATGAAGATTTTTAGACTTAATATATTTTGGAATAGGGCTGTAACAGGACAAAATGTGGAACAAAAGCTTTCTGGAGCCACTGCATAAAGATGAAAACACCCTTGGAAAAGATATGTAACAATGGCTGAGCATACTTCGAGCACACATGAGGGAGTGAGACTAAATTCTTTTAACGTTTGACACATGGTTCATTATTCCCCCACCTTGACTGCTCAGAGACATTTGGTGTGATCATGGCAACTATGTGGCGAGTTGTTCCATGCCGCCGCAGACTTCTGGCCACTACAGCGGCTCCCATGCAGTAAGAGTCTGTGGTGGCAAGGGTCACAAAAGCCTCAGCAGCTGGAGAAAGAACAAAAAGACCCCATCAGGCTGACTGACCCGGCTGACGTGTGTTTGTCATTTAATCTTTGTTGGATTTGGTGTTTCTTTGTTGCAGCAGGAAAAGTAACCAATGCATGGTTTGACTTTTACATGAGGTCCTGATACCCTGTTCACACTGAGAGTTAAGTAACAGTGACCCTTTCACAAGCGATATCAGTAAAGGCATGTTAGAAAGAAAAAGACTACTTGTAGTATTTAAAATATTTCAGGATCTTTGTGGAACAAGGAGCTATTTTAAATAAAGAATACAATTCAGAAAGCCACTATGGACAGATCCAGGCCTGACCTGGTCCAAATCCACGCACTCCACCCCAGACACTGTTTAATGACCTATTAAGGAGCCTATGATAGGTTAACATCAAGCAGATGCACTTCTAGTAAGACCAACTGAGACTAATTTTGGTCATTCTCAGTGGAAAATATGTTGAGGTTCAGACTCTGAAACTGTACCTTTCAAAATGTTATTTGACAGAATTTAAAAAAACCAGTCGTAACATGTTCAGAACACTGCACTACGTTTTACACGTGCCTGTTGTCAAGCTTACCTCACGAGAACCAGTAAATGCAGCAGCTGTGCATCATATTGTTGTAGTGAGTAACTGTTTAAATTGTTTTCACTGTGATCTGCAAAAAACTAAAGTGATTTCCATTATGCTTTAAAGTTTTAGCACGTCTGATGTGTAGAAATCTGCAGCAGCACTGAGAGCACACTCAGCCATCAAATAATAAACTGGAGCTAAAATGTTTTATCTTACCGCTCTGTGTGCTAAAATCACCACGACACCATTCAATCTGTGCATTTTGCACCAGCGTTGCATTTTCCTGGCACATTTTCTACCTTCTTTACCAGTTTTTAATCCCCATTTGAGAATGTCTCTGGAGTAGTTGGAACACACCAAACCTGATCATTGGATCGCCACTGCTACAGATGAGCCAAATTCACTTTGTAGTGCAGGGCGCAGGGGCCTGTACTGTAAAGTAGGTGCAGCACACACATGACCTCTCAAGGTGGGTAGCAATACACGGGCGGTAGCAGAAGGACCTCTGAAACATGGGAAGCTCTACTGGCAGGAAGATAAATATAAGCGTAATATGAGAATAAATGCAAATATGAAAGGGTAGCTGCATAATACAGACTGAAGTAACCTAAGCTGATGTGAGTTCGTAGTATTAAAAGAAGGGTAGGGTTACTTTAAGCACTTTGGTCAACTGCTACATCAATGCCTGTGGAGCGGTCAGCTCTGCAAAGGTACCATCAAGGCTGAAAGTACATACAGGTTTTAGAGCAGGGGTGTCAAACTCGTGGCCCGGGGGCCACTTGCGGCCCACGTCACCCCTGCTTGCAGACCAAATCTTGAAGTGAAGAATTATAATGCAGTTTGGCCTTTGAAGTGACTTTTTTGTTAAAATAAGTGATTTAATATGAAGGCAATATGAGCAGAGAGCACAAACGTGCTGAGGGATTGGCTGTGTTAGTTCACAAACTAGTGTGTAGCACTGTGCTGCTGTGTGTGTGCACAGACACAGAGGACCAGTGTGTTTGTTTGGTAGTTCACTGAAAGGATTCGTTTAGTGACGAGGGAGGAGCAAACAGGCTTGTTTGACAATATTTGACATAACAAAACCATTTTAGGAAATATTTGTGGCTGTTTTCTTGTCTGTTGGGGTTTTTGTAGTACTCGAACACTAAAGTGGCTCGTTGAAGTTTGACACGAGTCACACACAGAGTCCAGACGTGCGTTTTATTTCTGCTGTGTTTTTAGAAAGGCATGCCTTTGTCTGGGTTGTGAGCTGACCAGCCTGAAATCTTCCATCTAAAAACATTTGAATCATCAAGAAACAACATCAACAACAAACTGGTTTCAGTTTTCAACTTACTTTGTTTAAAAAAAAAAAAATACAGTAGATTTCTACATTTAAACAGCTGAGATGCTCGGATCAAATATGGCTTAAAGATATCTGCATTCTGTTTTGATTTACATTTACACAAAGTCCCAACGTTGGTAACTGTGGTTGTACATTTAGGATGGGATGTATTTTAGGTGGGATTTGTGTTGTTGTTGTTTGTGTGTGTCAGTAAAAGCCACAGTCACTGCAGTGGTCACAGAGTGGCTGCATCGCCACCATCGCAATGACAGGACACAGGATTGAAGTTCTGTGAATGTAAGTATGTTTTAATAACCTTTAGACTTGGCCTCTGCTGGGAACACTCTTAATAATAAATAACAGCCCACTGCTGGTTCTTCTGATGCGTGGATATATGGTTACACTCATATTGTGGTTGTAAATCACGCGTCACGTAGAGCACAGAGTGTGCATGGCTTAATATCCCGAGCATGCAGTCAGATCACAAGCATGTTAACCTTTTGTCTGCACGAGTGTCACATTTCACGCGGCTCACTGTGTGGGAGAGTGCTGGGGAACAGCAGGCAAAGACTTTCATGTCAGAATTTCACTGCGCCGTTTTTCATTGAGTGGAAGCTTGAGCGAGTTACGACTCAGTTAAAGAAGTTAACCTGTGGAGGGGTTAACTGAGTTATTACTGTGGGCTCTGCCTTACATATAAAGCGCCCTGAGGCGACTGCTGTTGTGGTTTGACGCTGTTTAAATAAAACTGAATTGAAAGAAGGTCACGCACACTGACGCGTACTTGATTCCTCGGTAGAACAAAGTATAACGTGATAAAGACTAGATCGTGTGTGTTAAAGGAAAAGCCACCTACCTGACATTCCTGTTGACAGAAGCTTTGTGCGCACCTGACAGCTGCACGTATCCACAGAGGAGATCAGGAATATGCGGCACGTGTGTGAAAGTCTCCCTGCAGCGCTGTGGGAGCAGCCAATCACAAAGGCCCGGACAGACCCGGGTTAGCAGCGGCTAAATCCCGAGAAACGCCACCAACCCACAGCTCATTCAGTTGTTCCTCCCGACCGTGTGACACTGGGCTGCTGGTGCTGCTGGTTACCTGTTTGCTCAACTGGTCATTCAACCAGCACAAAGGAAGCTTTGACTGATGTTGTGCAACACACTCTGCCCTAATGCCCCTTTGTTGACCGCCCTCCTTTCACTCCACATGCGTGACAGGTTACCAATCAGCCGGTGTTTCGGCTCGACACCCCCACTCTGTGGTGGGCTGTTCCTGCTGCAAAAAGGAAGCTGGCCATCACAACACGAACACCTTCAGTAAAAACAGCGTTACTCGTCATTTATTCAGATATAAGTTTACTTAGTGTGAGTAATAACTGTGCATATGAGCAGTGAAGTGCTTTAATGATGTAGCTTCTATCAAAGAGAACAAATCCTGCATTTCATGACTTATGTGGCTGTGGCAGCTTTCCCAGCAGCTCTGCAGCACCGCACTACACCATCTCCCGGAGGAAGCCGGGATTAATAAAGTCTCATCTAATCTATTTTATGGACTTTTGTATCATTGATGGCATTAATGTATCTTTTAAAAGACACCAGCATTCACATGTCTACAGGTGTGACAACCAACCCCAGGACCAGTGCGATGCCCACCTGACCCAGTGACAGCTGCCTATTACGAGCTCAGTAAGAATGCAACGCTGTGTGTCCGTTACATTCTTTGTTCATAACAGCGCATTTGTTGAAACCGTATGTGTATAGGTGGTGCAACATCGACAAAGCCAGTCCATGCTAGAGGTTAGAAATTAAAATGGAAATGAGTGGTTTCCATCAAATATTTTAGATCATATCTGGCTGAATATGACGTAAGATTTCATTATAAACTAGATGAAACATAAAGAAATTCCTGTTTTTTATGTGTGTATTTCTAACTTTCTGCTTCTTAATTCAGATCAAACTGAGGTTATTGTACTCGGCCCTGAACATTTTAGAAATATGTTCTCTAAGCAGATTCTTCCTCTGGATGGCATTACCTTGGCCTCCAGTAACACTGTGAGGAACCTTGGAGTCATGTTTGACCAGGACATGTCCTTCAATGCACATATTAAACAAATATGTAAGACTGCGTTCTTCCATTTGTGCAACATCTCTAAAGTTAGAAATATCCTGTCTCAGAGTGACGCTGAAAAACTAGTTCATGCATTTATTACTTCCAGGCTGGACGACTGTAATTCATTATTATCAGGAAGTCCTAAAAACTCCCTGAAAAGCCTTCAGCTAATCCAAAATGCTGCAGCAAGAGTCCTGACAGGGACTAGAAAGAGAGCAGATTTCTCCTGTTTTGGCTTCCTGTTAAATCCAAAATTCAAAATCCTGCTCCTCACATACAAGGTCTTAAATAATCAGGCCCCATCTTATCTTAATGACCTTGTAGTACCATATCACCCTATTAGAGCACTTCGCTCTTGCTCTGCAGGCCTACTTGTTGTTCCTAGAGTATTTAAAAGTAGAATGGGAGGCAGAGCCTTCAGTTTTCAGGCCCCTCTTCTGTGGAACCAGCTTCCAGTTTGGATTCAGGAGACAGACACTATCTCTACTTTCAAGATCAGGCTTCAAACTTTCCTTTTTGCTAAAGCATATAGTTAGGGCTGGACCAGGTGACCCTGAATCCTCCCTTAGTTATGCTGCAATAGACGTAGGCTGCCGGGGATTCCCATGATGCATTGAGTGTTTCTGCTCTCTGCAGTGAATCGTTCGTTTTTATTGGTTCTGCCGGAGGTTTCTTCCCGTTGAAAGGGAGTCTTCTTTCCCACTGTCACCAAAGCGCTCAAAGGGGATCTTCTCTGTATTATTCTACAGTCTTTACCTGAATATGTGTATTCTCATAAAAACTAGAGAAGCATTTAGATATGAAACAAGTCCAACAGCTTTGCCTCTGCACTCCAACAAAAGGATTGAAAATGAAACTTTAAAAATGGGAGCAGACTTTCAGCTGCTCAGGTATGTTTGTGTGGACTTGGTGCAGGTTAAACACAACGAGGGTTCCAAAATACAAACACAGATCATTTTATTTGAAACATTAGCGTACATTAAATCCACTCACAAATGCAACATTTCTCTCATCTAAGTCAGATGTAAAAAACTAAATAACCTGGATCACATCTCGGTTTGTAAACCCAGACAAATTAGTAACAGACTAACAAAGCTCGAAGCATCTGTACACACCAGCTCCCCAACTATCTACATCTCACAGGGATGCAAACGATTTCAATATTTTAGCATCGTAAGAGTTCACATCACATTACAGTCTGAGTGTCTGCTGATGAGCCCTCAGACTGTAATGTGAAGCTCATTTATGACCAATGTCCCAGTGTGAGTCTGTGGGACAGCACACAACGTGTCACACTGAAACAAACACCTGATGAGCATAAATGCGTCGGCCCAGTGATCTGTGGCTGCTGCTCGTCTGAGGCACTGATTCATTAAACCTTTCACAAACTCTGTTTGCTAAACATGAGCCGACACATCTACACATCCCATGTAAATATACCAAACACCTGAATTCAGCTGCTAAATGTTCAAACTTTTAGTGACATCGTATTTAGGACACTGTGTACAATTACTTCTCATCTTTTGGCATAAATCCTATGTTGATAAAGAGCTGCTGATTCTGAGCGTTCATCTACAAAGCAGCAGACTGACTGTTAGGACGATAAAAAGGTTTTGGACAGACGGAGGAAAATGAATATTTATAATCAAGCTCAAGATAGCAAGAAACTCATGTTTGTGCTGTATGTTACATTAAGAGCTAAGATCCTAAGAGTTGTCTACAACGAGTGCATTAATAAATGTGCATTTTTTGTGTTTCATGAACAGATGTGCTCACACTGCAACCAACACTACAAACATCTCCATGCGCTCAGCACGGGCTGTGCTTCCTGCTGTCGTTTACCAGCACTGGAAATGTGCGTGGCCTCCTGAAGAATGTGCACTTCCACTAAACGCTTAAATCATGCGACAAACACGGTTCTTTTACTCTAAAATACACATTTTCAGTTGATTTTCATCGGTCACACACTGAGCCTAAACTACAGCTCAACTAATGAAAGCTCTCCTTCAGTTTAAAACACCTCCAGGGACCAGGCTGGCTAGCATGAACACACCCTGCTCCAAACAGGGTCACTGCTGTGTTTGGATGTGTTCATTTTGCGCTGCACAGCAGCTTTTATATCCCTGTTCTCTGCAGAGGTGTGCGCTACGCTGAATAGTATATGTGTGTATTTAGTAAACTGTAGTAAGGAGTGTTTTAAACGGGAACCCTACAGAGGAGACTTACTGTTAAAAATATCACCTGCATGAATATTTGCACCTACTTTAAAATAAATGTGTGTATTACCACAGAGCCAGAGTATTCATCTTTACAGTAGTTACACACAGCCAACAAACACAAATACAATGCTCCTTTCAAATCACCTTTGGGATATTCTGATTTTTGTTAAAGACACAAAGAGAAGATGCACACTCAGATGTTTGCAAATGGACAGTCTTCAAGCTGGGCTACAGTTGTAGTTCTGGTTTAAGTCGATCAGGCTGCAGAAGCACCACCAACAAGGCTGACTGGAAGTTGAATGAAGTCCTCTGGCAGCAGGAGAGACGCGTCTAGTTTGTCTGGAGCAGGTTGCTGAGAACTGAAGTTAGAAAGAGCACAGCGATAAGCCAGTGCCTGTTCACAGTCACCACCAGGGGGCAGGCTGGGCTTAGTTAGTCTTTTTGGTGCTGTTCTGGATGTTGCCAATATCACGCTCCATCGGACCTTCATTTAAGACTTGTTACATATAATCACTGATTATTTCCCCCTAATCATTCTTTAGTATTCGAGCTGCGAACAGCAGACTGATCTGCATTCAAACATTTTAAATATTCACTTTGTGCACTCTGATGTTTCTCCTTCTAGTTCACACTTAACATGACTTTATCATATCAATGAACATCTGTCAGCAAACAAGCTCACTCGCTGCTCAGGTCACACATTTCAGAGCGTAACAGTTTTAAAACTGTTGACTGACCAGTCATCGCTCCTGTGTCACAGCTGAGAAAACAAGTAACACTGAAGCTACAGTAACTAGAATCTACTCTGTAATGAGGGGCTGAGAGGTACTCTTTACTGTTACTCTGTGATAGCGTGACAGTCAAGCACCCCAGGCAGGTCTCAGTGATCACCTTCATCTTCTGATGAAAGGTGATGGGTGTGGTCTCCTCGTCATGAAGGTTCACTGAACGGTTTGATGAGGTGATGCTGTTGTCCTCAGCAGATCTCAGTCCAGTGAACACTCCTTATTAAGACACCTTTTGTAACTTCGTAGTAAGCAGCCAGCTTGAGCCTGATTCATGGCTGTGTCACAGAGCCCTGACGCTCTGCAGCCTTCTCACAAATAAACTGTGAATTAGCACTGATGTAGAAGTAAAGACAGGAAACAAAGAAAACAGTCTTGTTTCTCCAAAAACCTCACATTTTTCATTCTGTTGAAGCCCTTCGCCCCTGGTGGTGGAGAGAATACGATCGTACACTCACGTCTTCAACCCAGGTTACAAAAATCAAGACGTGCAGGCCGTCTGAAACAACACCAAAAGTGGCGCATGCGCGGGCAGCTTTGGGGCGTGTCACGCCACCGTGCGTGGACTGTGAGAACTTACCTTGAGGCTCGGAATGAGTGCCTTGGTGTCCTTTACCACTCTCTGGATCTGCACCTGGATCAGAAACACTTATCAGGATGATGTCAGAGTCCTGTTATCTGTAATCAGCAGTAATACTGAACTCATTATTACAGAAACGAGGGATACCGACCTCCCTGCAGCTTGAAGCACAGTTTCTTCTTCTGATAAGCAAAGTAACTGGACGCTGCTCCCACCAGGGCAACGCCTACGGCACTGATGATTCCTGCAATCGGACCACTCCCTTCGAACGGAAAAAGGACACATTACTGGAAGGGACCCACTTTAAATGTATTCAAATTCTATTTTTTAATCGGTATGTCAAATGACTTCGTTTATCAAGATCAGAGTAAAATCACTTTAAAGCAGGAGTGTCCAACTCCAGGCCTCGAGGGCCGGTGTCCTGCAGGTTTAGACGTGTCCTTGATCCAGCACAGCTGATTTAAATGGATAAATGACCTCCTCAACATGTCTTGTAGTTCTCCAGAGGCCTGGGAATGAACTAAACCTGTGATTCAGGTGTGTTGACCCAGGGTGAGATCTG